CACTTGCATTCTTTTAGTGTCCATTGGCCACGAAGCTACCCGTAGCATCTGAGTCCACCAGGGCTTGGACAGTGCGGCCTTCCAGTTTCCAAAGTACCACAACAACTTCTTGGTGCCCACTTGTGACTCCCACGTATTGCCACAATACGTCTTGGACTCATCTCCCCGTTGGTCTCGGTGACTCTCAATGTTGGTTATGTTGTGACGTCTTACGTCCCAGCTGGCTGGGGTGTGCTCTCCTGGCCTTGGTTTTGTTGCACAATCCTTTGCAATATACCCATATCCTTTGCATCGGTGGCACTGCACTCCAGCGGGCCTCACTCCTTGTAGATTGTCCACCTCCATCGGTGTTGGCCCAACACGTGGCACAAGTCGGGGTAGTTGCCGTATGGGTGGTCTTGTAAGCTGGTGCCTTGATATCCCGTTCACCCTGAACAGAATGTTGTCTGCCTACAACACGTGAGTCATTGCCTTCTAAAGGTACTGGGGGGTTGGCTCTCTCCAAGTTGAGTCTCATTGTTGGTTTCAACCCCCGCTTATATTTGTCCATACACTCATCGTCGCTAATCCCTAGGGGTGCGCGGCTTAAAGAGGGCAGGCGCCCCACACCCTTACGGTTATTGTATCAAGGCTATGGAGCCAGAGCAAGTGGGTGAGGATGCACGGGAGGTGCAAGGAGTGGAAGACGTGTGGGGCGCAAAGAGTAATGCAAGGAATGATGAGGGGGAGGCCGCCGAGTCGGACATGGAGGATGACGAAGATGAATACATCTCCATTGGTGAAATCAAGGCAGCAACTACCAAGAACGAAGAAGAGGAGAAAGATTCTGATGGTTGGGAGATAGTTAGTTGCAAGTGAGTCATAGGGGTAATGATTAAGATTAAATAAAAGTAATTAAACAGGTCATTAATCAACATAGGCCAAAACTTGGAAATGGAAGTTAATTACTTAAAAGTTAGTAAATTAAGTGGATAGTTCTGGGTTGAAAATCAGAAAAAATGAATTTCGTTATCTTCACATGATGAACTTGGATGGGTTTTGAAGTAAAAAAGTGCTATCTGAATGGATTCAAATAGCATTTGATAGGCAACTGCGAAAGTTAGTCAATTAAAGATGATGGCTTAATTGATTTTCAGGTACAAAATTGAGATTGCATGAAAGTGAATTATGAAAATTTGCCAAGGAATTTGGGTTATTAAAATGGGGGAGGATGTAACTTTTTGCTAAATGTGTGTGAACGATAATAGTACGGTAATTCATGATGGTTGGACAAGATAATGCATTAAGTTGGATGGAATTTGGCGTGTTTAGGGATGGTTATTTCATAGTGCGATTAAGCTCATTTGATATCCCACACAGTAAAACATAATTTGTGTTTATTAATAATGATTTTAGACATAAGTTAGTGGCGTGGTTAATGGAAATGAGGCAACACCATTTTCACATATTCATAATGGGTGGCATGGTTTTCAGTTGGTTTGCGGGAGATGTGCCCGCTGAGGTGCCCGATGGGGCCATGGGGCCCCCTCCCCCGCATGGCCGGCGGGCTTCCAGGTCGCTCTTGTGTTCGGATGCGTACTGTGGGCCTAGGCCTATGGATTGGCCGGGCGCAAGGCAACTGTATGAGCAACACGTGCGTGTGGCACCTGGTGGTCTGCGGATGCAGCCACGGGGAGGCGACTGGGCACGGGATGGAATTACAAGCTATCGTGCAGGGTCGCATGACCCCCACACGCAGCAGTACCCAACATATAGAACATTGTATCAAATGTACCCATATAGATAGTATCTCATCCCTGAGGGCAGTAGGGCCACACCTTAAGTACTAGAAATTCAATAAACTACAACTCCACTATTGCTAACCCGTTTGGGATGATTCAAAGACCTATGGAAAGCTGAAAGCCTCCTCTATCCAATATAGTATAACTTTTATTTATTATAGCTTCTTAGTATATTGCCTGAGTAAACTGACTATTATCTAGTAGTCTACATAATATTGGGAATTTGCATTGTTTCACAATTGTATTTTCAAGTAGGAAAATACATCAGATGTTTTTGACGGAGCAGCTGTATTTCATAATTGGGATGTATAGAAGGACATTTCCTAAGAACAATGTGAAGTTTTGGAGAGCAGGCATGGGGTATTTCAGAAGGGTTGTGCGCCCATTTAGTTGCAGCACAGACCCTAGCCATTGGACACTGAACCGGTTGACTTTAAGAGCTTGTAACAAAGCTATTGGCCATTAAGACAGGTTTTTGACCCGTGTTGCTAAAGCCCAAGACTGTCCTAGTCGCTGCGCACTATGCGCTTGACTTTAAGAATGCGTCAAGGGTTGTGTTCCCGTGCAAAAGGCCGGGCCATGCACAGAATTTGTGTGAAGGGCAGCGCTGCACCTCGAGTGTTGAGCGTTTGTTTGTGCCATATGTCGACGACCGTTTTGTGCTTTGCATTAGTGTGCAAAGCTGATGTGAGCCAGTGATAAGCTTGGTGAACATCGTTGAGGCATTTTGGTGAGCGTTGGAGACCGGAAGAGCCAAGCTTTTGGCAGTGGTGGTTGTGGTGAGTGGTGCGAACGGAGTGCCAACATTGTCAACGAGTCAATGATTGTTGGGTGAGCCAAGGATCGTTGCTGCGAGGTGGAGCAATGTGGGAACGTGTGCTGGAGATAAGGCCTATGTGGCCAAGCTCTGGGAGGCCAAAAGAGAGGCGAAAAGTCATCGAAGGGAGTTGTGAAATGCGTTGAAGGAGCTGAGCTGCATTGAAGGTGAAGAGATATCAAGTGGCTAGAAGCTCGAGTCAACAGACATCGAGTTATTGCTTTGGAGCATCCTCAAGGTCCAAAAGATAAAGGGCAACTTCAGAAGAGCAAGAGTAGAATGAAGCACCGGAAGCCCTAGAGGTGACTCTATACCCAAACGATATTTTGATCTCTCTTGGTGGTATACGTGGGTCAGCCAATCAAATGCAAGAATGGTGTTGTGTGTTTTAGAGGTGGCCACCCAGATCCGCTAATAGCGGACAGAGGCTAATTTCCGTTAATTTTCCGTTAATTAAACGGAAAATAGCGAAAAAAGACAAAAATTAACCGAAAATTAATGGATTTTTGGATTTTTTGGGGATTTTGGGTTTTATTCATACTTGTAGTTTATGGAATTCGCTATTAGAGAGTATTTTTGTATTATATTTCAACCTATGCATACTAGATTTTCAACTAGCCGCAGTTGTTGTGATTTTTTGGGGTTTTTTTCGGTTTTTTTGGATTTTTTTCGTTTTTTCTGCATTTTTCTCCCTTTTTCTTTAATGGAATTTAACGGACAGCTGATAAAAATTAACGAACCGGACTTAACGGACCGGATGGCATCTTTGAGTGGCCACCTCTAGTGTGTTTGGGAGTGAGAAAAAGTGGTGGGAATTGTGGAAAGCACTGGCTTGTGCTTTTGTAACTGTTGTGTCTGTGAACACGATTTTGCTCGTTTCTGGCATCTCTATTCGTGGTGCCCATTTGGTGCAAAGAATCGTTGCATGCACTTATAAGAAATTGGTGTCACTGATGCCAAGTGAGAACTTCCTTTTGGCAAGATTGGCAAGGGAGGTTGCTGCCTTGAAGGGGTGCCTTACCTTTCTGTGGGAGGCTGGGCATGCATGGAGGGAGCATGCAGGAAGGGGGGCAAGTGCTAGTGCCTTGCCTAGGACTTCTTTTGATTTGCATTCTGGACCAATTTGTGGCATGGCTCAATATGAAGTGGTTTGTGCTCTTCTGAATGGAATATTTGTTGGTTGTTTCTTAACCCTGAGTGCTCTCAGCTTTGGTCTCTGGATTGGTTCTCTCCTTTGAAGAGAGGGAGAACACGTGGCCGTCACTCAGCCGCTGCACAGTTAACAATCACACATAATGACCATGCGACAAATTGTATATTGTACCATTGCCGAAGAAACATTCTAACTAGAATCTCAAGCGCCCTTGCTGGAAATTTCCTTTTGTAATCCCATTTCCTGGCAGAGATACACGGCTCTTGGGTACCACGTTTTTCCTACTATTCGGTTAAGATTTGGGTTATAATACGGCGAGAAGACAATGGGAGAGCGGCCAAGTCGCTACAAGGGCTTAAATAGGGTGCTCACCTCTATGCATTGCCTGAAGGCTTTGTATTAGTGGGTGACTTGCTCTACCCTTGTTCGAGGGACATGTTTCCGAATCCCGCAAGGTGCAATTCATCTTCTATCAGGTTGTTTATTGCATGATGACTCTATTCGTCTTGAACACACCATCAATGATCCTCAATATGCTTAGGCAGCTTCGGATCATTGGAACAAGTAATAATTGCGACTTGTTGCGATCCCTGCTACCCTCACAGGGTGCAGAACAAAAAATTATTGGCTTCTCATAACCTTGAGCTTGCTTGTGAGCTGGTACAAAGCTCATATCATTTTCTGTTGAAACGGGGGCGGACCGGAACTCTTAACTAAAGTACTTTTCCCAAAACAATATTATTCCAGATTATTCATTCATACAAAGGATTGAAATACACGGTCCACCAGATTTGATTGTAAATATGCAGTGATCAACCAACAAATTGTCAGCATCATTCCACCGCAACAATTGGGCTGCATGACACATTCCCCTAACCAATAATAACCCTTTGTTTTATCCCGTTCTCCCTGTCCTTCAAACCACCACTTCAACATCAACTCAACCATCAATCGCAGGTCCAACAGCCCATGAGCAGTTATTTAAATTAACCAATCAGTTCATCACTTCGTAAATTACCCGCGTCGTACAGCACCGCCCTCTGCAGCCACTCCGAAGGTGTCGAGCACCCACGTGGACGCCCCTCAACCGGCAACGATTGGCACCCAGCATTTCGGCTACACTTTCCGCGATTGGCTCCCAAACCTTAGGCGCGGCGCGGCGCTCTCCCCCAACCGCCGTTTCTCCTTCCGGGGTCACACAGCGCCTCTCGCGATCGCCCCGGGGCCCCTTCCGTGGGCGGAGCGGCTGATGGACGAGGGCCTGACTGCGGAGCTGGCCGCGGTCGCCGCGATTTATGGCGAATGCGCAGACGTGCCGTCGGGCGGGGCTGGCGGGAATGTCGTGAGAGTGAGGCCCTGCCGGCGTGCGCCCCAGGTGGAGGTCGGCCTTCAGATTTTGGGTGCGTTAATTGCCAAGCCGGGGGGGGTGGCACTGAACTTGGCGGCGCGCCTCAATCGGCACCTGGGCATGGCATCCCGGCTGATGGCCGGCATGGGCCCTTAGTGGCGGGAGATTGGCGCGGCTTGGCTGGACGTCGGGTTTGTGCCGGTCGGGGGGGGATAGGGGATCGCTGTGCGGCCGAGGGGCGGCGCAGCCGTTTGTGAGGGAGGATGACGCGAAAGAGGGGAAGGGGGGTGCGGCTGCCATTTGGGGGGTGCTGCGGCGGGACCGCAGGCTCTGGGGTTTCGGTAGCGAGTGGTTTGCATGCCGGCCTGGAGTGGGCACGTGCGAGTTCGGTCGTGCGCGTTCCATCGGGGCGCGATCGCGCACAGCTACGCGGCGCCCTGGCAGCGGGTACCCAGGGGAGGCTGGCTTGGGCCTGTGAGTGGCAGCGGCGGGCGTTTCCCCCCTCTGCGCATCTCTCGGAGAATCCGAAGCATCACGAAATGCCGAGCGGCGACGGATCGCCCGTTGCCGCCCCCCGACAGTGCCGACGGCGCTATTGCCCACCGCCGGGGCAACCACCGACAACCTTTCCAAGCACCGTTGCCTGCTTGCCTGTCTTGCGGGGAAAACGTTGAAATTCTTGCCCCTCGAGGCTGCATTCGATATCCATGGGTGCAGCTTGGGAGTTCTCGCCTACGAGGGCCCTGCTCACCTGATGTGATGCCAAAATTTGCTTTTGTCGCATTGATCTGCCAGCCTCACGGCGCCGCGAGTGCTGAATTCGACGTCTTTATGTAGATGGCTACCCATCTGTGGCGCCTGAGGTGTCCGTTGAAGGCCTGGCCCCCGACATCGCGGTGCAGCTGGTGGAGCGCTTGAAATCATGCGCAGCCGAGCACATAGGGGACCCCATGATTCACATGCTGGCTCAAGAAGCGAATTCTTTTGTTGTGGAAAGTTGCGTGGTTGCCTCGGGGGAAATCGCAGCGGATGGGAGTGAGCCTGTTGCCAGCACCAGCGGTGACGGCAGGGGAGAAGATGCTGGGGGCCAGGAACCATCAGAGCAGGGAAAATTGGCGGACAGCGACACAGAAATGGGGAGGCAACAGAAGGAGAAGCCGTCAAGAGCGAAGAGGAGAGGGAACGGAGAGCATCCCGGGGCGTCCAAAAAGAACCCGATGAGAGAAGCGAAGGACGTGATACACAGGATACAGTGGGACCCTAACTTGGATGTGAGAGATTTTGTTGTCGGATATTTAGACAGATTTCTTGGCATAGTTGAGAAGCCTTTTGCTCAGTTCACTTGGCGAGACCTTGCCATCCCACAGCATCGCATCCAGTACTTTAAGTGCAGGGGTGAGGTTGTGTGGTCCAAGGTGGAGAATTTTGACCATATGTTTGGTTCAAGGGGTGATGGGACGACAATAGATCAAGTCTTGGGACGAAGTGTAGCGAGCACCGATCAATGCATTGATGGTGACGAGCCAAACACACAGGCCGGCCAACAAGAAGGCGATGAAGTGGGTGGGCAGGAAGATGGGGAATCGGATACCGAAGATGCTGTGCGGCTTGTCCATGGGAGGTGCACTCGCCAGAATGCACAGAGGCCAAACTATTTTGTTTGCTTTAGAGTGACTGACCCTGGAATCGTGGCTGCTGTTTGTGACGTCCAAGAGTCCATGGTGGCTTCTATTCCCATCTTGGCTAAGGGATGCCTGCCAGTGGCTGCCCTCCATGTGACGCTGTGCACCCTGAGACTGAGAAATGAGGATGAGGTGGTGAGGGCCAGGGAAGTGCTGCATGCAGTTCGCCCTCAAATCATATCCCTGCTGCCACAGAGCCTTGGCCTGACATTTACTGGGGTGGGCACACTCGGGGACCGTCTCCTCTTTGTCGATGTGCAAGACGATGGTGCAGTCTCAGACCTGAGCAAACTGCTGATGGAAGAGTTCGAGGCTGCAGGCGTCTCACTGGTGGGCAACCATGACGATCTCAAACCCCACATGACGTTCATGAGGCTGACGCGCCCCATGTTTAAGGAGTTGGGGACAGACTTCATCGACGGTGGCCTCCATGACCACCTGAGGACGATGTGCTTTGGCATCCAGCACGTGGACGCTGTGCACCTGTGCTCAATGATGGAACCACTCCAGGCCAATGGGTTCTACTTCAGGCTGGCCACTGTGGGGAATAACCTCCTGGGGGCATCTCCCAGGCTACATGACATTGTTCAACGCATGTTGCGAGAGCTGTCATCTGAAGGTCTCATCTCAGAGGATGATGCAAAGCTGGTCAACTGCGAGCTGTCCAGCTCAGCAAACACTCCAGACTCTGCACTCGAGGCTATCCGATCGATCAACAGCAAGCGGACTTGTCACAGACTTGCACTGATCATGAGGGGCGAGCCAGGCAGTGGCAAGTCCGCCCTCCTCAGCAGGCTGAACGACTGGCACAGACTGCACATCTGCAGTGCAGACAGGTACTTTGAACAGCATGGGGAGTACAAGTTCAATGCCAAGGAGCTGGTGTGTGCCCGTGAGTATTGCTTTGAGCGGTTCTTGGATGGCATTGAAAATGGCAGGAAATTCTTGGCAGTTGACAATGCAAATGCGCAGCTCTGGGAATATGCCATCTACCGTCGTGTGGCAGAATTGTGCGGGTACCATGTGGAGGTTGTTGAGCTGTCCTGTCCCAACAGTGGGGTGCTCAAGCAGTTCGCTTCAAGAAATGCCCATGGTGTGTCTTACCCAAGGATTCAGGCAATGTATGAGAGATGGGAGGTGGACCCCACTGCCCGAATGGTGCGGCCCTGGCTTGAAGACGAGCATGAGGAGTACGATCCGAGTGAGCAGTTGATATCTGTCTTCTCTGAAATTCTAGCCGGTGAGTCAAGAGAGGGAGAGATTAAGCCAGAGGTTGTGTACACTGCAGTGTTTCTGACAGCCAAGTCGGTCGCGGCACTGTTGCGGGCGATCAATCCAGCATACGCCAATGTTCACAGCGATCATGTCACCCTGGCATACAGACCTGAGGAGGCACACTTGCGCGATCTCCCATTTGGGCAGTGTGTTCACCTGAGGGTAACTGGTGTGGCAGACGACGGGCACGTCCAGGGAGTTGCAGTCGAATTCACCAGTGAGCATGGCATCAAGTGCACAAGTGCAGTGCCCCATGTGACCATATCACGGGGCCCTGGTGCCAGTGCTGCCACATTAAACGGAATTCTGACTCAGCAAGGGGGGCCCAGCATCAGACCCTGCCCGCAGATAGAGTTGGAGGGGGTGGTGGGCTGTGTCATGGATGTTCGGAATAATTGCCGACAGCGAATCGTGGATAAAGGAGAGTTCACACGTGTGTCGAATTCCATTTGGCAGGGCAGGGACAGCCAGGAGCCTGTGTTTGGTTCAGCCGCAGCCCTTCACATCTTTGATTTTGATGGTACGCTTTTTGACACGCCTGGTCCCATCGAAGGAAAGAAGGAGTACAAGGTAGCAACAGGGCGGCCATGGCCACACACAGGGTGGTATGGCCGATCTGAGACCCTGATGCCACCCCTGAAGGTGTATCCTGGCCCGGCCCTGCACCAACTTCGCACGCACTGTGGCAGATCTGGGAGCATCACTGTTGTGTTGACTGGACGGCTGGAGCGATCGAGAGAGGCGTTGGAGAAGATCCTGGAGGCGCATGGGGTGTGTGTTGACAGAGTCATCCTCAAGGATGTGGGGACGTCGGACAGCACAGAGGATTTCAAGGTGCAAGTGGTCACATCGATTCTGGCAGACTGCCCCAAAGTGAAGCGCGTGAAGATTTGGGAAGACCTGCCTGAGAACTTGGCAGCCTTCCACAAGGCAGCCCGTCGATTCCCCAACATCAGCTGGAAGATAATCGACTCGCTGTCTTTGCGCTACCCTGCCTTTGAACCATTGGCCACACCTGCCAACCCCTCGCTGATGTACCAAGTGCCAGGTGTAAGGGTGGGTGTCTCTGAATACCTGTCAGCAGTGGGTGCATTTCCCCAGAGGGAGCAGCAAGATGCAGCCCGGACAGGCCTTCGATTCATCGCCAAGGTGTGGGCCTCCTCAATCCAATACCAAGGAAATGCCATGAAGCTGGCAGTCCCATTTGGGTCATATATGCTGGGAAGGGCTGGGGATGTGGACCTGTGCCTCCTGGCCCCAGAGAAGCTGTCTGTCAAGGACTGCCTGAACCAGCTGCGATACCAGCTTGAGAGGCGGGGCGTGAAGCGCACATACATTGGTGCCAGTAAGTGGTGCCCAAGGTTGCGTGTGTGCCTAGACTTTGCCACCAGCTCTCCTGTAGAATTCGACATCGTATTCTGCAGGGTGGACAATGACATGCTCACCAGCGGGCTTGAGCCCGCACATGGAGACAAGTTGCCAGGAGCTGTGGTGAGGGGAGACGCAGCAAGCAAGGCCGCTGCAGCCGGCCCAGCACTGCACAGCCAGATCATGAGGGCAATTCCTGATGAAAGGGCCCTGAAGCAGTTTGCTGTGGCCGTGGAGGTGTTTGCTCGAGTCCTGAAGGCCAGGAAGCTGAAGGGAAGCGCCTTCCATGCTCCACGCACCTTCCATTTGGTAAAGATGCTGGCCAGGCACGTCACAGACACCCATGCCAGCTTCGATTCCTCTGATGAATTCTCTGCGAAGGCGATTGAACTGGCAGCAAGCATCAGCCAGCAGAACTGGGCCAAGGTCTTTGGTGACACTGTCCCCATAAGCTACCTTGCATCTCTCACAGTGGGCTTCTCTGTGGCTAGGTGCATAGTGCAGGGCGGGGAGTACCCCAAGTGGGGGGCAGTGCACGAGCTGCTGAGCAGCGGGGAGGACTTCCCTCCGGAGGGCTACTGCGTGGTGGCTGTGCACTGCCGCTCCAGGGACTCGGCGTCACTGTGGCGACTGAGCAATTTCATCGAGGTCAGAGCAGGCAGCTACATCCGCATGCTGCTGGACAGTGGCATAATGGTGGTGCCTGGCACAACGACACGTTCTAAGGGCGAGTACCTGCTGGAATTTGGGGTGCCAGAGAGGTCCATCATGGCTGCGCAGCACCAGTGCCAGCCGTTGGTGGACGAGGCCAGGTGCCACGAGGCCAGGTCAAACGCCTGGATGGAGGTTAGGGTGCCCAAGAACAAAAACGCACGGTTGCATCGACACAGCTCGTTCGGGGCCTCAGAAACGAAACGCTGCTTCAGCCCTTACTAGGTAAGCCTTCTGACTGCATGCCCCCAGTGCATGGCAAAGGCTGCCCCTAGCTCATGAAGGGCGACGATGGGCATGTTTCCATCAACAGTGTTTGCATCTGGTCGTCCCAAGTACTCAGGCACAGTGACGGATGCAGCGATGCCTGTGCTTGAGCACATGTGTGATGCTCAAAGCTGGGAGCCCTGGAGCTCCCAAGGCAGGATCCGTAGCCGGGATCCCAAGCCAGGATCTCTACTGTGATGGAAGGCACATGGGAGGTCTGCAGCATCTTCGCTGGGATGTGTTTGGCGGCTTGGTGCTATGTTAGGTGGGCGACCGACGTTGTGGGTATCGACACCCTCTCCGAGATATGCCACGGAGCCATCGTTGGAGAGTTTGTGTCAATTCGTGTGGAGGCGGTGCAGCCATTTCATTGGTTGCAATTTTGTGCCAATTTTGTGGGCGTTGCGCGATTGTTGGCCACAGTTACTTGCGTGGGTGGGCTGGCTGCGTGACCCGTTGTTGTGGGGGCATGCAGTAAATAGAGTGAGCAAATTCATAGCAATTTGTATCATGTCAGACTGTTGGTAGTAGGATGCTCGGTGTTCGGCCATTTTCCATATGGGCCACGGGCAAATACTCTTTTGGGCGGCTGTTGTGAAATGTTCTCCGCCTGGGCTGTTGCTATGGTGAAATCGGTGAACTTGTAAGCTGTGTGTATTTACTGTCCCCCGATGGCCTGTGCTGTGGCCCTTTGAAAGAGACCCCTTGACATCCTGTTGCTGCATCCCATATTCACAGTCAGTTGCGTCACCAGCACGGGGCCCAATTGGCTCCGAGGTTGTTTGCTTAAATCTTGATATCTCTGTTAGTTAATGTAGACTACTAACAGGCCAGCAACAGGCCAGCTTCTCCAGTATGGTTCTAGCCAATGCCTCCTTCTCCAAAAGCGCAAGCTGCCTCGATAGACTGATTCACATAAGGCGATGTCGCCCTGATGTGTTGATGTGCACAATGTTACTTTACATTATTGTCAACATTGTGCAATCAGTGCAAGATTGTTGTGCTGACTGACAGCACAAAGCTGCTTTGCCCTTCATTGCTTGCCCACATGCACCTGGTGTGTAACCTTCAACAGTCTGTTGATGACTGCGAGAATGGAAACGATGCAATGCAATGAGGACGAAAGACCGATGTTGAAAAGGCCAGCCTGCCAGCCCCCAGGGGCTCCACCGCTGCAAAACGACATAAAAATCCGTTGCCAAGAAAGGATTGATGAATGCAGTTTCAACCTATAAAAAGTCATATTTCGGCAGGAGGTGGAATTATCAGAAGAATTCATAACATTGCATGTTGATCCCGTCCCGATCACGTGTTTAACTGAAGTGATGCACATGCACTTGCATGGCAGTTCCTATCCATGCTTAAAGAGCGTTGGGTTGCTTGAAATCGTGCTTGATGCTAAGCAACCCGGCGCTCTTTGAACATGGTCGGAACTGTGTGAAAGGGGCGAATTTCCGTCCGCTCAATGTGCTTCCGCAAAACTGCATAGAGCATCGTTGCCCCCAGCCCCTGTGGGTGCACCCAGCATCGTGGAACCAATGTACCTTCGACTTAATTAGTTGCAAGGGAAAATGACGAAAGGGGGTCCTCTGTGAGATATCTTGACAATAGTGGGTCCTCCGTGAGAAAAGGGTTTCCTCTGCTGGGGTGCATTTGACAAAAGGTGGTCCTCTGCGGGATCGCCTCTAATAGGACCGGCTTGCCAATTGTCGCTGGCCTGGCACCAGCCTGGCAATGCATCTAGCGTGGGGGGGCAGTCTCAGGACCCCTTTTGTCAAATGCACCCCTGCAAAGGACCCCCTTTTGTCAAGATATCTCACAGGGGACCACCTTTTTTCATTTTCCCTAGTTGCAACGTTAACTTCAGGGTCGGTTCTGCTGTCCACACCACAAAGCCGCTCTCCACAGCAATGGACGAGGCGCCCGTGGCGCAGCCCACAATGTCAAGCCGACATGGTCCACATGCTATGCAGCATGCGCATACGCTCATGCTTCATGAACTGTGCTACACATACTACGCTTTGTGGCAAACGCTACTTCCACTATGAAGTAGATTTTAGTGAACAAAAAGTCATGGACGCTGCTTTGTTGGGGCAACATGGGAAGCTGGCGGCTACCTCCCTGCCTTGCGATGTTAAAATTCAGGGAAAATGACAAAGTGTGTCTTCTGTGACAAAATGGGGTCCTCTGCGGGCGTGCATTTGAAACAAAGGGGTCCTCTGACCAACCCCTGTACATTAGATGCATTGCCAGACCGGCGCTAGACCGGCGTCGTTCGGCAAGCTGGTCCTACTAGGGGCGACCCTGCAGAGGGCCCCCTTTTGTCAATTTTCCGCTTGGTGGTCGAATTTCAATCAGATGTTTACATCCCTAGCGAAAACACACAACTTTCACTACAGACCTTTAGCAAATTCATAACCCTTGCACAGAGATTTCATAGAACTGTAGAACACAACTCAGTGGTCATAGTTTTCCCATAGTGAAAGCATCATCAGCCAACATTAGTATGGATGTCACAAAATTCTCACAGATCATCAGCAGTCATCCCCGGATCGCCCATAACCGTCCCACACAACTCGGTTTGCACTAACAATTACATGGTTGGCCACAGTTTTTGCTCACTCGAGGTGGCTTGTGGATTGCCGCCGCAGTAAGAGCACGTAAAATGAAGGTAATGCCAGCGAGCGAGCAAAAAGATGCAACAAATGTTCTGACAGTTTGCCAAAAGCCATACCGAGATCCCACATAGCTGTCCCACGCAAGTCAGTTCGCACTCACAAACACCCTATTTGCCTACACATCCGTGCTTTTCTTTGCTACGAGTGCGCTCGCTATCGCCGAGAGAGGCTCTGCCATAGCTCCGATTCACCCTTGCCCTCACCGCAGCCCTGGTCGCCACTTGGTCTCTCCCGTAGGTCCGATCGCTACGACTCCCCCACACAGCTCCGATCCCTACGTTCTCTCTCCAGCAGCTCGGATCGCTGCTTGGTCTTCCCAGCAGCCCCGATTGCCGCGACTCCCCTCCACACCTTGATCACTTTGGCGCCCTTCCAGGGGTCGGCCCTAGTAGGACAGTGGTCCGGTCTAGCAACAGACCGGTGCCGCTCTGGTGCCGGTCTGGCAAAGCATCTAATGTACAAGGGCCGGTCAAAAGACCCCCTTTTGTCACAGAGGGACCCCTTTTGTCAAGATATCTCACAGAGGAACCCCTTTTGTCATTTTCCCTAAAATTGATGATGATGCTCCACATACTACAGCCCTTCCGCACACTCCTTGTGTGATGCCAACACTCGATCTGATGCGGTCAAAGGAACCTTGGGACCAACCACGCCCCGGGGCCCAAAGCCGCCACCTCCTCACCGGGCACCCCGCCGAATGGCGACCTTCGGACCCCTGCGCTCTCCTAACCCCGCCCGCCACCAAAAAGTGTGAGAGGGTGAGAAAAAACAGTGAGAGGAAAGGAGGAGTGACGGGCCGGAAGAGAGCGACCAGCCGTGACAAAGAGTGACTGGGCGAGAGCGAGTGAGCGCAGTCGGCCCTCGCATGGGCTGCGCGCCGTCGTATCCTTCTGGCGGCCTGGCGCGTGTGGCGGCTGGCGACCTCGGCCACAAATCAGCACCCCCGGGCGCCCGCTGGGGCGTCGTCGAGGCTGAGGAGTCGTACCCGGCCATCGTCGGGGTGCAGAGCGCGGGGAAGCAAGCGGCGGGTGAAGCGGAGGAGGCAGAGAGTTGCAGGCTGGACGACGACGAATCATCGCCGGGTGAAAGGGAAGGGGTCGGACCCGCCGGGAATGAGGACGGCGCCGGCTGCACAAGTGAGTCCGCGCTTCAAATTTGCACCGTTTGCGCCTCGAAGCTTTTCGGCCTGTATGGCCCTTGGTGTGTCTGGCCTGCAGTTTTGGGTTGCACGGAGGTCCCAGGGGAGGTCGAGGCGCGTGGGCCATCGGGCTCGAAGGGAGGCCGGTTGGATCTGGCCCAGGCCTGGCCATCTCGGCCAATGCCACCAGCCGGTTGGCCACGCCATTGACCACGTCAAGAGGCCCTCCCCCGTCCCCGGCCGGTGGGAATGCGGCAAGGGGAAATGGGGAACCGGGCAATGGGCTTGCTGCCGGACAGCTTTCGGCAGTGGTTCCGGTGGCAGGGACATGAAGCAAACAAATTCGCCGGGGGCGGCGGTGCAAGGCGGGCGGGCTTGAGAAGTATTATTGCGGGCACAAGGGCGTCAGACGTCCGGAGAGTCGTCGGGCCGGATTGGCCAGCCGACGGCGCAGCGAAAGACCCGTTCCAGTGGATGTGGGCGTCGGCGCTGGGATGGCGCTGCCCTCCAGGCATTTTAGACGGCGGCAAGCAGTGCCGCAGGGGAATGCGTTGCCTCCTGTCGCTGGCCGAAAATTACCCGCGCCCCGCAGTTTCTAACCGTGTCCAAAATGTGGTAAAATAAGACCAGATTCATATCTGAGGCTTAAAACGCGTTGGAGTGGGACCCTAACCGGGGTTAGGAGGGGGGGGGGGGGGGCAGTTTTTCGACAGTGTGTGTTTTGTTTAAACGGTCGATCGCGGCCACGTGTCCCAGCAGCGTGCCGCCATGTGACAGTCTGAAACAAACAAGATGTACGGCGAGTTGCTTTACCCCATTTCAAAAACTACGGCAAGTTTCACTAGTAGAAGTTGTAAGAAAGGCACGGTGAGGGCATCCGCGTGGCGGGCGCCAGATGGAGGGGGCCCCATCGTTGGAAAAATGCCGGCAGTGTAGCTGCGTACGTTGTTTACAACAAATGGATAACGTGAATGGCGCATTAGCGGCATGAGCGGTGCGATGTTTCCCAGTATTTTGTGTGTGGCGATGGAAAAGTCGGGGTGGCCTCAATTTCTGTACATGCCTTGCTTTCATCGCACGTCATCGATGGCCAACGGCGCAAGAAACTAGCTCATCATCATCATCATCAGCAGCAGCAGCAG